TCTGTCCGTTCTGATCAGCGAGCAGCCTGGTGTGCTCACAGCCCTTCCCAGCCTGTGCCASCCTCTGGGCACAAACACAGGGCACATCAGGTGCTCTGATGGGGAGCTGGGGCTGTGGGAAGGAGCAGGAATGAGGGCATTGTGCCCCCGGAGAGTTCCCTGGTTGGCCACGGGAGATCCTGGCTGGGGTTTTACAGAGCAAGGGGAGAAGGGAACAATGAACGGGGTGCAGCACAAAGGGATTGTGAGCCCCACGGATGGGGGGTGCATGGGCCTGGGCTTGGGGGTCCCTCCCCACCCAAACCCATCCTGGGAAAGGTGAGGAGCAGCAGGAATTGGGGCTGAAGAGCTGCAGGAACACCAGGATTCCTGTCTCTGGCTGGAGGAACGAGGTAACAGCAGGGATTAACCCATCAATGTTGAAGTGTGTGGGGTCTTGTGGCAGTTGAAAACCCTAAATGAAGAGATGCATCACTGAAATGCAGGCTGTGGGCTTTCCATGCCTTGCTCCTGCCCAAATCACTGCATTTACTCACGGACCACTGCTATTTTCAGAGTGGAAAACRTGGCACAGGCTGGTGGAGGCTCAGGTTTGTGCCTGAGACACCCATCCAGAGCCCAGGGCTCTGGCACTGACCCCCTCCTTGTCGCTGACATCCWGCTAATGGAATATCTGACGTGTTTGCTAGGTGACCACATCTCCTAAAAGGCTGAAAAACCCCAGCTCAGGTTTCTCCTGCACTCTGTTCCACCCCTCCACAGATGTAGCTGGTTGAACTTAGCAGGATAATGGAGCAGGGGAARAGTCCCATCAAAAATCAGCAATTCCAGRGCTTCTKGGGAGACCAGGGAGACCTCAGRACASTGGGAMTGAAGGGTTCCAGCCCAACTCCTGCACYGAGGAGGAAAAACATCCCAAACTGGTGGTGTCCCACAGGCCTTTCCCAGGTTGTGATCCACCAAAGCTCTTGGGCATGAGTTAAACTTTAGGTTTTACAGAGGTCAGCAGGGTTAAAAACAYGATTAAATCAAATATGTGCTTAAGAGCTTTCTTGGACCAAGGCCCAGTGACCGCCCCTGCTCCCGCAGGAAGCGCTGGCTGAGGGGACAGCTGTCTCTTCTTCCCAGAGCAGCTCCCTTTCCCTGCTCACTGCTGCCTCCAACCCGGCAAGAAATACCCCACAATGCACACATTAGTGAGAATTTGGGATGRCTGATGTCCCAAGAAACAAACAGTGCTTACTGCTCTCGAGGCACTGGGAAGGCAGAGGCTTCCTTCAGGCTTTTCTGGAGGCAAAGGAAGAACAGAATTCCTGTGAACRTGAACCCATTGCAATCCCAGATCCTGCCACTTTCAGAGAAATCAGGGAATCATGGAATGGGTTGGGTTGGAAGGGACATTAATGATGATCCCATCCCACCYCCTGCCATGGCARGAATTCCYTCCTTAYATCCAATCKAAATCTCTCCTCTTAKTTTAAATCCATTCCCTTTGTGCTGTCACTATCTGCCCRTGGAAAAAGTCATTGCYCCTCTCTCCTGTAAGGCCCCTTGGAAGTGGCTCCCACAGCCACCAGTTCCCTGGGAATGATGGGCTGTAGAATCTGAAGGGTTTGGGTCTCCCATCCTCTGACTTTTTAAATAAATGCATCCTGTACAAATCAAGAGACACATCTGCCCAGCGGGAGGACATTCCCCCATCCCTGGCAGTGTCCAAGGCCAGGCTGGACAGGGCTTGGAGCAGCCTGGGAYAGTGGGAGGTGTCCCTGCCCATGGCAGGGGTGGGATGGGATGGGCTTTAATATCCCTTCCAACCCAAACCATTCCATGATTCCACGACATGGAGATGACTGGTGTGTTCCCTGTTTGTGCCATGGGCACACCAAACCCCTGGGGACATGGTGGGTGTGGCACTTGGGGACAGGGTGCTGGGGGAATGGTTGGGCTCGATGATCTGAGAGGGCTTCTCCAACCTCACCAATCCCATAAATGCCTGAGGAAGGGGCTGGATCTGTGCCTTAAGAAACTTTTCCCACTGACCCAGAGCTGCCCACCTTCTCCAGCTCCCAGAGCTGCCTCTCCAGCTTCGCCTTCTCCTCGCGCAGCCGGTTCAGCTCCCGGGAGCTGTTTGTCAGCAGCTCCGTGTCTGTGATGGCAAAGTGGAGYTCGGCAGGACCACAATCCATGGAGCTGCTCCCCAGGGAGCGGAGCTGCTCCCGCTGCAGCCTGGAAYGAGCCACTGGGGTCAGTCCCTGCTCCTCTGGGAGCCCTGGGCACCTCCTGGAGCTGCCATTCCCTGGGAGCCGCTGGCTCTGGTCACCTGCAGAGGACAAACAGGAGAGCCCGGCAGCACTGGGAGAGGCTGCTGGCAGAGCTCGGGAGGGGAGCTGCTCCTCGAGCTAAATGTGGCTGCTCGAGCACRAGCATTTCTGCTGCTTCCCACAGCCCAAGCTGCCGGAGAGCTGAGAGCGCTGCAGGGACGGGCTGGGAGGTGGAGCTATTTGTGGTACCTCTGCATTTCCACAGCACCCAGCGTGGGCTGGAGCTCTCACCCTGCCTTTGCAGTGGGAGGAACATATGTGCAGAGCGGCTCGGCGGGGCCCAGAGCGCCCGGACAGGCAGCTGCAGGCAGCTGATCCTGGATTGCCAGGGGCAGGGAGGAAAATGTGTGCTCCAGCTCCTCTGCTCCACTGGGAGCCACGTGTGCCTCCTGCCAGGACAGGGGATGGCTGCTSTGGGGCTTTTCCACTCAGCCCAGGGGGAAGAGGGGGCTGAGATTTACCCATAGGCGATCAGAAGGTTCTCGTGCTTCTTGGCCAAGTCCTTCAGGCGTTTCCTGTAGCCACGCGCTGCCCGAGCCAGCTGCTCCTCCCGGGATTTGTAGGAAGCACGGATATCCCTGAGCATCCTGTCCACAAAGAGCTTCATGGCAGCCTGGCYGGCCGGGGCCTTGCTGTGTCCTGGCACACTGCTGGCTTTGCTGTCCATGTACTTCTGTGAATGTAGAGAGGGGAAATCCATGGGGAACGGCTTCCCAGAGGACAGGGATGGATGGGATATTGGGAAGGAATTGTTCCCTGGGAGGGTGGGGAGGCCCTGGCACAGGGTGCCCAGAGAAGCTGTGGCTGCCCCTGGAT